GGTCTACGAGAGAGGCCATCTTTTTTTCCTCATCCTGAGTCCAATGATTTCTTGCTAATGCTAAACTCCTTTTCTCTTGTACCTTGCATCTCACAATCAACACGTATTACTTAAAGATCAGCAACCTTCATTGATAATATATTTGCAAATAGTCATGCTATGAATGCCATCAGTGGTAATCTAGTCTCTAATCATCTTCCTCAATTCCTGATCGTACACAATCTCAGACTGAATTATTTCAATCACAATTTCATATTTTCCTTGGACTTAAAACTAGGAAGACTGGTAGAATCTCATTCAGTGACAGGACAACATCTGTCATTACTGATGGACTAAAGAATGAAGACTGTAGTGAGATATCTGATTTCACCAATGAACTTTAAGTCAAGTATACAGATAAATGCAAGGTTCTGAAAGCTGAATGCAATCTTGACACATTTTGAACATGAATCAACTAATATAAGGACTCAAGCAAAGACTAAACAATTGGATTGAGATAAGTACACATGAAGCATATTATTCTTGAACTCAAACTGTAAGACATGCAATAATAGGTCAAATGTGACATACCAAATCCTCAGTAGAATAGGTCACTACCTTGAGGTTACATGTACTGGAGTTACTTTTTCTGTGACCAAGAGGTTCTGAGCTAGTAAGTGCTGGTCTGGACACTCTGAACTACTGAGTTAAACTAACTAACTGTACTTCTTTTATAAGGAATCGAACAATAGCAGGAAATTCTCTAAAATTTTGGAAGTTAGGTGTGATTATTCTAAAGGAAATTTATGATGCAAATCCTGTGTGTATGATAATTTGGTTATCATAGGAAATAGTTTCTGAAGATGTAATTCTAAAATTATAACAAAAAATATTGCAATGTCATGCACAATTGTGAGCTTGGTCACAGATAGCATTGCAAATCGTACTGTTTTTGGCTGGTACCATCTTTGCAAGTAATCAACGGTACAATCCCTTAAGCCTGATTTCAATTCGTGTTAGGAATGATAAAATGAATGCTAAAAAGAAACTAGTCATATTATTAAGATTAACATTTCCGTTATGGTTCTCCATTGCAGGTAAACCCTTGCAGGGAATGCCAGGCTCCAAGGTTGGTCCAGTGCCGATAGTTCAGATGTATGGAGTGACAATGGAGGGGAACAGTGTCCTTTGTCATATCCATGGGTTTGTACCATATTTTTATGTCCCTGCTCCTCCAGGCTTTCAGCAGAGTTACTGCAGTGTATTTCAGGATTGTCTCGATAAAGCTGTGTTGGTAGACATGAGATCCAATAAGGATAATGTGACTCAGGTAAGTGTCATGCATTTGAGAGGCTTTACCCAAGAGGAGGGGTAAATTAGGGGGTTCTGGAAAGTGCAATGCTGCCAAAAGTTTGGCTAATACCACAATACCATCGAAAAAAGAAGCCACTACTCTGTATGTTGCGTTAAGAGAAAATAACAGAAATAATGATAAGGAATTTGTTAATGAAAGTTAAGTCAGTTGTGATTAAAAAAAAAAAAAATTAAACACTAATGGTTGGCTGAAAACAAGTACAATTATCATGTAACACAAGTGAAAAATTGTAACAGTAGTGCAAATTACAAATAGAGGGTGCTGTCAAAACTTCGTCTGTCTTGACTTTCTGTGACGATTTTTTGTCTTGATTGTTATTTATATGATTTCTCTTTTAATTGGTGAAAATAAAAGCTTGTAAATTTAAGGTCCAGTTGTGGTCTTTGAAAAATTTTCTGGTGCTCAAAATGGATTTTGGACAATGTAAAAAACAGTGGAGGACTAGGAGGATAATTTTTTGTAAGTGGTCCAAAATGACTTGTTGATAAACTGTGTCCCATAATGCCAGAGAATAATGCAATACTGCAATTCAGGATAAAAATTACTGAAATACCCCAAAAGAATTGTCCAATACCACAAACTCTAATTTCCCCCACCAAGAGGATCTGATATGTTATTCAATGGGAATTACTATACAACTTCATCTTGCCAGCTCAGGAGATAAAAATAAAAACTACCATGCAGCCAGGAATCTGCTATCAAACTCTAGCTCTCCATTGTAACTTTGTCCAAAATTATATGCAACAAAAACAAGAAGGGGTTTTTTTTTTATCCAGATGAGACCGTCCTATTAGTTTTGTAACTCTTTCTAGCTGTTCAGTTTGGGTGACTTTTGATGTTAGTGGTGTAATGAGATATTAACTGCACTACTTCATTACCCAGGCTGTCCTTGCTGTTGACTGTGAGATGAAGGAGAGTATTTATGGATATCATAGCAACAGAAAGATCCCATTCCTTCGCATCACCATGGCACTGCCAAAACTTATTGCACCAGCTAAACGGATTTTGGAGACAGGCTTTAAATGTGCAGATCTTCCAGAAAGAGGATATTCCACTTATGAAAGCAATATTGATTATGAGGCAAGTTACAATCTTTTTAGAACTTTGATTTATTACTGCAAGAAGAACCCTCTTAAGAAAATGTATCAGTTAGTGTAAAATTGTTACCTTAAGGTCTCCAGGTGGGCACTTTGCATCCAAAATAACACTATTGATTATTTATTACACAATTCGGGCAGTCAGAGGGCCAATAACTAAAATCAACCAATCAAAATGCTCTATTGCCGGTCAATATTCTCTCAGTATTGGACCGGGCACTGTCCCGAATGGTCCCGAATGATACCGCACTTGTGTCCCTTTGAACTTCAGTTGTATAATAAATCTCTTATTAACCAAGCTTGCTCGGGACCGTACTGGAAGAATATCGGCCCTC